CATTCATGTGTCATTAAAACTTTATTTGCTTTATGTTCAAATGGTGTGCTGGTGACATTTTTGTTGGACCTTGGCAAGCAGAGGGGCGCATTGAGGAACCTGCCCTTGGGGCAGCAGAGAGTAAATCCAGCCCCGTCAAGCAAAAATTTTCTTTCAACGTTCTTCCTGGCTGTTGTTGAGTGTACACGCTCCATAGAGATTGATGGGGAAAGCTGTTTTTTTAAATCTCAAAATATGCGCTCAGTGAAAATCTATTTTAGTTCACCTTTAATGGGAGTCCTGGAAGCATTTAGAAGGTATCTTATGAGCTTTTACAACTCAGATTATTTCCGGCTCACTTATCAATCACTGGCTTTATCAACACAACTCAAACCACATTTCCAAATTCAAAAAGTGGCCACACAGGGGAAGATGTTCCACCAAGACAACAATGTGATGTTTGCCCATCGATGGTTGATCTACTTTCCAATCTGTTGTGACAAGAGCTTGGTTTCCATAAAAAGACAGATCGGATAGCTACAATTCTCATACAAAGTCTGCAAGACGGACCACGATTGCTTCCAATGGGTGGATACAAAGTTCCGACACATCTACATGGCTGCCAGTTATGGTTGGTCTGTCCTCTATCCTGCCTCAGGGCACGTTCACACACCATTTTCAGGACCAGATCTAGTCCAGAAAATGGTGTGAACCTGTCTGCAGTTCCAGTGCATTCCGGACCAGACAAAATGAGACCTGCAGTATTTTTCTGGTCTGGAACGGACTGCGCTGGTGGGAACAGAGGCCAGAAATAGCATAGGGATACATTTTGGGTCTGGAGGTAATCTGCATGTGGTGTGAATGGGCCCTCAGTCAGGCTGCACATGACCAGGCACAGCCTCATCTTCAGCACCGATGTCATGACATCTACGGAGTACATAAAAGCTCTCTTTTTTCCCCTTTCGTGGTAACCATCAATTATTGTATTGTATCGGGGTGAATTGTACATGTTAGATAACAGTAGGCGTCTCATGCAGCGTGGAAGTACAAGCCCAGCTGCCTTCGCCATAGCTATCAGGGCATGTCTGGAATCTATAGAATGCTCTCCATTTACCCATGACTAGAATTTAACCCCTTCACTCAGGGATGGCCATCAACCTCATCCAAGCCATGCCTGCATAGAAAAAGGACTGCAGGTTTGAAGTAAAACTACCCAACTTCTGGCTGGGGATAGGCTGATCTTTACAACTCTGAATGAAGATGAGGAATCTGCCTACGGACGCATCGATGGCTACATCGCCGCTATGGAGAAGAGGAGAGAATGCTTGCAAAAATGACAGCTTCTGCGGTCACAAAATGGACAGAAAAGTCCAATGTCTGAACTGTGCAGGTTTATTCCATCTTAAAAAGGAGAACTATGGGGTAAGTGTTTTTACCCATAGTTCCCTTAAGGGTCACGGGAGGACACAAACTAGCGTCCTCCAGTGACCCAAAGCTCAGTATCTCGTGAGCTACAGCTCGCGGTATACTGAGACTGCGGCAGCCGGGACGGATCCCGACATTACTGTCGAGATCCAACCAGCTGCGTGATTAACAGTTGGCTCTGCCTAGCTAGAGGCAGAGCCAGCTGTACCCGCCCCCCCGTCCATTCCGCCAATCGGCGCTAGAGGATCGGAGCGGGGAATCCCTGCAGGGAGCCGTGACAGTCACGGCTCTCTGCAGGGAGATGATCGAGAAGTGAGCGAGCGCCGGTATGTGTTCACTCACTTCCCGATCTATTGAGCCGACGTGTGACAGTTTAATTGTCACAGGTCGGCTCAGATTATGAGGCTGAGTGAAAAATCACTCACCTCATAATTCTCCTTTAAATGCGATCATCCATGTGTCACATCTGGAGGGCTGCTGGGGCTGAACTCTCTTTTTGAAACGGATAGTTATCTGGTTATTAAGCCGATCCAAAGGCTTTAAATAGTGTGTGTCCCCCTGACCCAGAGAAAGTATGCTGATCAGAAGTCTACCTTTTCTCCGACTACACTGGCTGCTTGCTTGTTCCAGCTCAGGGAAAATACTGAGGCCACAGGTAGCCAGGTGACTGGCTTTATCAGTACAATAGCAATGGCGGCCCTTGGCGCAGGTCTCCTTTCTAGCATTGTTCATCCTGCCCTTCCCCTGCATTTACATAGCAACATAAAAGAGAGAAATCCAATTTGTTGCTATGGACTGCATGGCATCTTTCCAAATATCCGGCTCGTTGAGTCTTATTCCATCTGTGGATTAAAACAAAACCCTGCTGCAGCCAATTAGATCAAGTGTGAAACACTTTATTGTAGTAGCATTCTATGGGGGCGCTAGGGCACCAGATGATGGTCACCCCATCTAACAGGTCACAGTCTGACTGGGAAATGACCATGCTGGCGGGCACTATGCGACTTCTGTAGACGATCCCAGGCTTGCAGCCCTAAAGCCAGAACCCAGACAACAAAAATGGACCTTCCTGGATGAGATGAGGCTGGTGCCAGGGTTGTCTGCTCAACGATCGAAAGGAGTTTCAGGTCACAATCATTCTACAGACCTTTCGACCACCATCTCAAGTCAGAGGTCACCGACGCTTAGATGTCCAGACCTAATTTAGCATGTTAGTTAACTTGACTAACTTGTCAGTTTGACAGCAAGGTTTGGAAACCGTGAACGTGTGCATCCCTAGCTGCCTGCTGCAAAATTAACGAATGTCCCTTCGGAGTGAGCATTGTGCGAAAAACACATATTGCGGTCACAATAAAAGTAGAAATCTCGTTAGCTGCTGAAAATATATTGTAAAATCACACTAGCTGTTGCAGAAGGTGGAGCAATCCACAGACTGTTGTATGTTACCACAGAGGCAAAGTGCAATACTGAAAATCCTGCAGATCATTATCCAACTGGGTGTGGCCAAGGTCAGAATCCACTTTCCAACATAAACTAGGCATCAAACAGACCGCAATACATGGCATTGATTACAGCAGTGGCAATCATTTATGTCAAAATGTCAACAGAACCTTTAATGATAAAGTTTTAGAAGATTCCTCAGATTTATACAGCCAGAGAAATTATTAATTAAGGCGAACTATAACCTTCAAAAGGGTAGTAAGCCAATCCCACCAATTGTCTTTTTTCGTTGTTCTGGCCTAAGGAAATGTGTTTGTAAGTGGCTTAAGCTTGGCTGAGCTACCTTCCCAGGACCACCTACCATGCATGCTACCTTCCCAGGATCACCTACCATGCATGCTACCTTCCCAGGACCACCTGCCATGAATGCTACCTTGACCTTCCCAAGATCACCTGCCATGCATGCTACCTTCCCAGGACTACCTTCCATGCATGCTACCTTGACCTTCCCAGAACCACCTTCCATGCATGCTACCTTGACCTTCCCAAGACCACCTGCCATGCATGCTACCTTCCCAAGACCACCTGCCATGCATGCTACCTTCCCAAGACCACCTGCCATGCATGCTACCTTCCCATCAACCCCTTCTGAGCAGGCTACCTTCCCATCACCACCTGCCAAGCATGCCACCTTCCGATAATGGCCTTCCATTGCGCGCCATCCATCTGCCAACCTTCTTTTAAAATGTCTGCTAGCATTCAGGTTGGCATTGGGCAAACATATCATGTTTGGTTTATGGAGAAGAGAAACAATCAGGACCTGGCTTATCTCAGTAAAAGAACCACGGCACCCACAAATGCCCCCATCAGTAAACGGATCCCCCAAAAATACTCAGCCAAGGACGTCTCTTGGCATTAGGGGAGATACGGTTGCCCCAAATAACCATAAGCAGCCAAACTGAAGAAGCATTCTTCTTCTCTAGGCACCTTAACAGCACTCTTGGGCCTGCCCTACCAGACGACGGACGTCTTCAAAAGCAGATTTAGACTTAATCCAGTTTAATTCAATTGGTGGCATTTGAAAACCGATGTGAGACACGGCTATGGCACAGACTTTGTACACCCCTAAATTTCAGGAGGCCCACTAACAAAATACAGGTGCATCCATCTAAGGCAACGGAAAAACAGCAATGAAGAGCAGAAAAAATGCGGCAACCAATGAGATCTCTCCTTTCTGAAGTCCGGCCCACAAACGATTAAATATGATTGGCTGCAATAAGTAACTTCCGAATGTTCTTTGAATTCCCGAATAAGGCAGATAGCGCCCTGCGCCATCCGCCTAGGTTAGATTTTTCCTATTGCAATATATTGCAGCTTCTGCTGGTGCAAAGAAAATTCTGCCAACAATAAAAACAGATCCATCCAGCTAGAAGGTTTATTATTCATCACATGCAGCATGGCAGAGTACAGGAAGGGTGGCGGGTACAAGGAGCACGTCCTTGTCACAGAAACCAACCCGGCTCATATTTTTCCTGAATGACATTCCTGCAGCTGACGCCCTACTACACCCACAGCAATGCACAACACGCCGTTCAGCGTTCAAGGCTCCGGCAGAACAATGCAATGAGCCCTGTCAAAACCCAACCGGCGGGGAA